CCTGACCTATTCTACACACATGATACATGTTATATCCGAAGTTACCAAAAATTAAATAAATAAAAGTAAGTCAGGGCGTTATTCAAGTCTTTGCTGCTGTGACCAAAATACCCAATGAGAACAATTAAATGGAGAAAAGGTTTATTTTGGCTCACAGTTTCAGAGGATCAGCCCATTGTCGGCCAACTCCATTGCTCTGGACCCAAGTGAGGCAGCACATCATGGCAAAGGGAGTGACAGAGGACAGCTACTCAGCTCATGGTAACCAGGGCGCAGGGAGAGGGAGCACAAGACACCAGGGACAAGATATAAACCTGGAAGTCATGCCCCCGGGACCTACCTGCTCCAGTCACACTCCACCTGCCTACAGATACCCGTCAGTCCTTTCAAAATTTTCAATCCATCAATTGGATTAATCCATTGATTAGGTCACAGCTCTCATAATCTAATCATCTCAACTTTTGAACATTCCTGCAATGTCTCATACATGAGTTTTTAGGGCATATCTCAAGACTAAACCATAAAATACGGTTTGTTCTAATGATCTTTCCCTAAATTAGGAACTATGAAAAAAATATTATTTACTCTTTGCTATTGGCAAATATATATGAATCTCTCTTATATTGCTACTTTTAGTAATTTAATAATAAATAAGAAGTCAGCAGTAAAAACTGAGTACTGTGTAATGAACTAAAGTATATTTGCCGAATCAAATAGCCTCGTTTTAGTTTTCATCTTTTTAGGTTATCTGCATTTTTTAATTAACTCTCAGAACAATTCTTTCTTTAGATCATCCTTTTTCTTTTTTTTCTTTCTTTTTCACATTTTTTTAAAAATTGTTCTTTATCGTTTTCCTTGGCTGGCTTCTCTATAGGCCTGTCCCTCCAACCCTGCAAGTAAAAATATGCCTTTAGTTCAGGTTCCATTGTGGACTTTTAGAATTTATGTCTGTAGATACCTACCATTGTTTATCTTTTCTCACACAAAGCCCATTTAATGGTCACTTCAACATTTGTCAAATGGCATTGAAATTCTCCCTTATGTATCAAACTCCAAGTGTCCTTTAGTACAACTCAGTTTACCCATCTCATGTCCAACAAGAGCAGATCTGAGCTCAGTGTTCTCAAAACCTTCCTTCTGCTCAGTTCCCCTCTCCATTAATGACTTCACCATTCCCATTAGAAAGTATACAGCCTTAGTCATATCTCAGTTTTTACCTTCTTGAGCTAGCAACCATAAATCACTATTTAAATCATGTGATTCTATGTTCCAAAACACCTTTCCCATTGTCCTCTTACCATTTCTTGCCAATCCTACTCTAGTTGTTTCACATCCTATATAGACCAGTAGTAGCACATCTTATAGGTCTTGTGGCATCTTATACAGTCCCTTGTACCAACTAGGTATCCATGCATATAGATATAGAAAAATGGTAAACAAAAGTCCACACAGTTCATAATTGCAGTTTTTTTTTTCTTTAGACAAGTAAACTATGATTTGAAGATTTCATTCAAATAAATCACATGACTAGAAATTAGTTATATTAACTTTTATCATGTTAAATATTATAATAAAAGTTATATTCAATACTAAAGTTAGAGTTTAGGTACTGCAAGATACAGGTCTACAAAATGTATTTTCTACCTCCAAAAAATTAAACCTTAGAATAATTATTGTAAAGCTTGGGAAAAGCTGATTTGTAGGGTTTTTATATATAGTATAACAAAATACTAGCAACTCATGAAAAACAATAAATTCAACTCAAAAATTGGGCAAGAAAAAGGATACCAAAATCTTTTGAGTGCCTGGTACTGGCCGGTACTATAAAAGAGAACAAACATAGGCAGCACAGTTTAAACCTTGCAATAAGCGGGTGGACAGATATCATTTTATGACATTTCACACATGGGAAAACTTTCATATTTTTATTTCTCCATGATTACACATCTAGCAAATGGCTCCCTTGAAACTGAAATCTAACTTTTTACTTCCTAAACCACAGTTTCAGGGAGACATCTAATAATAGGTAACAGGCTTCTATCATCCTATACAATGTCGATAAAATTTAAAAGGAAAAAGTGTGTTATGCTACATTTGGGAATTTTAAAATAAGAAATAAAAGTTTAAGTTAAGCTGAAGCACTTTCAAATCTCTAAAAGCATCAATCATGCATAACCTAGCATTCAAGCATTTATATAAATGTTTTTTTTCTGCTCAGTAAAATAAAGGTATAATATAACAATAAGTGAATGGCATTGAAATCATTCATTAACTTAACGGTCAAAAATATAGTGCATCCCATGTGCAATGGCCCCGTTGTTCACTGAGGTTACAATCATTCCTAGAGAAAGATGTTCACCAGTTCGATATTCTATTTATTGATTGTATGGTCATAGATAATCCATTTACTTCTCTGAACTTTAATTTCCTTGCTGGTAAGCAGGATTTAAGAGTTTAAACTATATTCAACTGTTGTAACGAATATATATAGGAGCACTATAATTTGCTTAGTAAAATTACAAGAACAGCCACATTAGACTGGTTTCAACCACAATTGTGGTTCTCTTTTGTGTTCTTGCTTCATTTTCCTAATTCTTCTTTAGGATTTAACAATCTGATTATATACATTGTTCTTCTCAGGGAATTTTTCAGGAACCCCAGTACAAAATGGGGCATCATTTTCACATATACTTCACATAGTCATCCATAGCCATCTGTGTATATCATTATCATGTTATAAGTCACATTATTTTGTAATAACCTACAGATATTTTACATCCCAAGTAAGATTATAAGGTTCCTAATGGTGAGGTAAGATCTGTATGTCTCAACAGTGAGTGGACTGTCTGCCACGTTCCTAGACCTCAATGGATTTCTATCGAGTGTTTGTGCTTGGAGTACAGAGAAGTAATGGTAAACTTTGAGGCAGTTGTTTTATTACTCTAAGAGAAATTGGGTCTACAATGAATGGAAGGTCATTACCAACTCAACAGTCTGCTCATAGAGCTCCAGGGGAGAGTGGCAAACAGGCTGTATGCCCAGTCTATCTGGAATACTGTTGAAAACATTCATATATTACAAGGATACTGGGTTCAAGAACATTCGCAGACACCAAATAGAAACTTATTATCTAGTTTAATCTTGCTTAGGAAAATGTAATACCTGGTAAGTGACATCTGAAAACATAACATTTATTCTCTCTTTTGTATAAGGATTGAACAACCTTGATATTTAGGCAGAACTTGTGGAATCAGGTAAATATCAGTTACAACAAATCATCGATCAAATGCTCATTATTCCATTATGGTGGCTATGAAGATTGCAAACTTAGGATACAGGTAGGCCCTGTCCAACTTTTTATTTCCTCCAAGTGAGTGAATAAGTTCACTTTTGAAATGATCTTCAAAGTAATTTTATTCCAGCAACAGCTCTTTATGATAAACCGGGAGAACTTCATCCTGTATTGATGGATGTGGCCTGCTCTGCTGACATGACAGATTCACTTTTTTGAAAGCTTTTCCTTCAAGAAATACAGTTGCTGATCCTCTCTTTAGCAATTAGGCTTAGAATGCAAGAGTGGGAGCTATCATTTATAACCCTCTTCCTAACAGCAATCCAGAAAGGGTCTTCCTAATTTCGAGGAAACACAAACAAAGACAACAAGGGGAAGTGAAAAGAACAACAGCAAACAGACCACAAAAGGAGGAGGTCGGGGAAGCTTTCAGAACTCGTAAAGCTTTAAGGCACTGTTTTTGACATATCTTGGTGGAGTGTGCATTAGAGGGGAAAAAAAGCATGTCATTGCTCTGAAACTGTCTTTTCTAATTCAGTGCATCCATGTATTGTTATAAATCTGTTTCCCAATCTTGCTTCCTCACTGAAAGATGCAGACACAAGGGAACAAGCTTCACTGCTATCTATCAGCTCAGATAAGGAGATGTTTCCTCCTGCAGGACACTGACAGCTTAATGAAACCGAGGCCAAGAGGCATGCAAATGAGAAAGAGACTGGGAAGACAATGACCATACAAGGTGTTTGACACCGGCCAGGGGGAGGGTGACTTGGACCTGTGTTTATTCCCTTAGGCAAGGTCAGTGAGACCTCCGTATTGAGACTGCTTTCTCAGAATGGTTTATGGAAACTACTTTCACAATTTTATAGACACCACTTACTTACTTACGGCCTGGTGAAGTAATTGAAGCTATCACACTTTCTAAAAGGAAAAGGCTGTAGTACTTTGCCCCATTTTGATAGATGAGGAAGATGAAGGGAATCTCAGACCTTCTCGGATAAACTTGTATCTCTGGTGCCTTGTGGTTCACTACCATTTTCATAGACCTTGTAGTAGGTGCTTTTAAAAATCTAAGGATGGGGTCTACATGGAATAAACTGAAAAACGGACCCAGTCCTTTACTAAAGACACTGCAGATATTTATTATCATCCATTTCCCTACTTCTTTTTGTTTCACATGCCTACACCCTTCCTTAACTTCTGTTGCAGAAGGAACACAGGGGAAAATTGGGAAGCACTTCCTGTCACACTGTCCAGATTACTAACGGGAACAGGAAGTACTCAATCTGATGAGAAAATCAGAATTGTGCAAGAATTACTGCCTTAACTTTGGTGAAAGAGGGGATGGTGGTGGAGACCTGTTTTGAATAAGAAAATAAAACGTAGTCTCCACCCAGATTGAAACTAATCACTGCTTCTGAAAAGGATCTCCCATCAGTGACTTCATTCCTGATTTGAACACATTCACACTGAATATTCATGTCTCAATATTTGTTACCAGGGTCCTCCAAAACACACATGTCTCTTTGTGAAACTTTCTTAAATGAACTTTTACATAAGATATTGTTGCTTCTGAGATTTCCTCCTTTACCTGAATGTCTGCAATACCTTTAGGATTACTAGGGGAAAAGCAACTTGATTCTTACCAATTTCTAGCTAGATTTGTATTCAATGTCACTCTATGTCCTCAGGACATTTTAGAGCTTACCTGAAGGATAGGGTTGGAATCAGAATTAGCAGAAAGATTAATGCTGCAGCTTTAAAGAATAGGGACACCATTCCTGGAAATCTGTTCTTAAATAGGTTTAAATCTAGTGTTTCTTCTTCATATGCAGAAGATTTTGACCTCTGTTCTATTTTCCATCTACTGTGTTTTCTGCTCTCACACCTGTAGATATAGAAAGAAGTTAAGATATATTAAGTGGGTTCACTCTTTCACCCGAATGTAAAGTGCCCTGTTTCACATGCAAGTAAAATTCATCAAATGCCAAAATGAGAAACATAACACTGAGAGATGACTTTAAAAATACATTGTGGGGCTGGGGTTGCGGCTCAGTGGTAGAGCATTTGCCTAGTATGTGTGAGGCACGAGGTTCTATCCTCAGCACATAAAAATAAATAAATAAAACAAAGGTATTGTATCCAACTACAACTAAAAAAAAAATAAAAAATTTAAAACATTGTTATTTAATCAACTCTTCACAAATTGAGAATATACTCTAAGATTGGTTAGATCACCAGATAGTTCTCTATCCAGTACTTTCATTGAAACTTCAGAAAAAAAGGATTTATTTCATTTTGCTACTATGTCAAAAGTTATCATAAAAACAAAAGCATTTAAGCACTCATTGAGGAATCTACTATAACAATGTTTTTTTATTAGCTAGAATAGGCTGATTTCTGTATACTTTAAAACAAAAGTCTTAGTAACTTAACAGAATAAAAGTTTTCTCATTACTTTGTGCCTAGTTGGTCAAGGTTCTCTTAGGTGATTGAAAAACTCAGGGTAAGTATATGTAGTGGCTTTTCCATCTTAAGGGTCTGAGTTCTCTCTAGTTCCTTTGCATCTGGATCAGAGAAAAGAAACGGAGCTAGCCTGAGAGATCTCATGGAAGTTATTTTAGGGGTGTGCCAAGATTGGATGAACATTATTTATCCCATATTGCACTGGACAGAGAAATGGCTTCACTTGATTGCTCTGCAATATACAGTTGCTGGATTCTACAGAAATAGCATATAGGTTTAGCAGAATGTCATTGTGAAAAGTGGTTTCTGTTGTTGTTTTGTTTTGTTTTAATTTACGTATTCTTGAGCTAAGGAGAATTCTCTCCGAATAGTTTGATAGGATTGATTTTCTTGTGGACATTTTGAAAAAGACAAATCTCACATGTCTTAATACAGAAATGTAAATCTTTAGGGTAAGCATCAAAATTTTGGATTGAATATAGATTACATTTAAGAAAGTGGTTTCATTTTCTTTTTATCAAATTTTATATAGATGTTATATGTATCATGTATTTAGTTATATAAACTAGTGTTATTATAATAAATATACAAACAAAAATAAATATACAAGTAAATGCATACACAACTATATAGGTAAGTAGACTGATTTCTGACAAATGAGTTAGTCCTTATTGTGAACAATAAAATATAATAGGTAGTGAAGATTCAAAGATAAGACTTAATTTTCTTCAACAAAAGTACAATTTATGGAAAAGTGATAAGTATATTATAGAACTGAACACAGATACTTTAGATTGATAAGAAAGATAGAATATAAATACACAAAGAGCATTAAATGCACGTAAGGATAGAAAACATAGAAATTTATGGTCAATGGAAACTTCTTGGAGAAGAGGAATCTTTCAAAATTAATCAAATAATGGTAGAAATATTCTAGGTTGCTGAAGAGTCACAAAGGTCATGAAACATGACAGAATGTTCTATTTGGGAAACTTCAATAGAAATTCTGTATGCTATAACAAGATGTTTAAGGAGAGCAATGGCCAGGTAAAAATGGGCCTTACATTTAATGCAAAGTAAATGACAAATGAAAATCCAACTTGTAAAGCCATGTTGCATAATAGTTGCCTAAAGATCCTGTTTCCATAAATATGGCTTTAGTATATTCATTTTAAACAGAAGATGATGTGATTTTATTTATCTATCTATCTATTTATTTATTTATTTGGTTGTAGATGGAAACAATACCTTTATTTTGTTTATTTTTATGTGATGATGAGGATTGAATCCAGTGTCTCATATGTGCTAGGCAAGCATTCTACCACTGAGCAACATAATGCAAATAAATTAGATCCTTTTTTTTTTTTTTTTTTTGGTGTTGATGATTTAACCCAGAACCTCACACATGCTAAACCTTAGATCTACCAGTGAGGTACACCCTTAGATTTAGATGAAACTTTTAAATCTCTGTTTGATAATGGAAGTCTTATTAAAAAATAAATTAAAACAAATAGGTAGTGGAAAATATTACAAATTGGAAGTTGTTTAATATTCCAGGTAAGAAATAAAAAAATATAACCAATGGCACTGCTGGGAGTGGACAAAGATGTGGAAAGAATTGCTAAAAAAGACTCATTTTGTCAGTATAAAAGCAGTTACTTTTACATGCTAAATTCCTTGCAGAGTCCTTGCAATTTAGTCATCACATGTTCATATAAAGCATATACTTTCTACTTTCATAAATATAGAAAGTTCAAAGGTGGTTTACATAACTTGCCTTATGAAAGCAAGCAACTTGTTGAACAGGATTCCAGCTTCCACTGACTTCCAGATCCATTTGTTCACATCATGGTGGACTGCCTCTTTTATGGAACAGAGAATATGGTCTCCACTTTGAGAAGTTTGCCTGAGAAGGGAAGGAAATAGGCCTAGAATAAGAAGGTGATGTATAGTGTAAGGAGATATTCCTTTGGGCATGATTGTAATTTTTAAAGAAGGAATAGGTTTGCTCAATTGCTGGGCAATATATTGGCAGTGATGTGCACAAGGAAAATGGGGAAATTTTAATAGCAGAATCATGCAGAAGCAGAGAGTTGGGATCCAAAACCTAACTAGAAGATTGGGCTGTGAAGATGGATACACCATTCTCTTGGCCAGAAGAATTATGTATAAGGATGAGGGTAGAGGAGCAAAACATTGAAATTTATGGAAGGAGCAGAATCGTGGGGAACGAAGCCAAACTTCCTTATGACTTTTACTCTCTGTGGCTGTGGTGATTTGTATATGAGTCCCCCAAAAACTCCTATAGTAACAAATTCAGAAGGTGAAATGATTAGCTTAGTGAGTTAATTTATGTGATAGGTTAATAATCTGAAAGGACTAAGTAGGGAGGTGGAGCATGCCTTTGGGAATTATGCATTGACCCCTGGCTTCTCCTTCTCACTCTCTTTTCTTCCTGGATGTCTTGAGTACAGCAGTGCTTCTCTGCCACACCCTTCTGCCATGAATTGCTACCTCAGTTTTGGCAAAGCAGTGGTCAGCCCACTGTACAGGGAACCTCTCAAACTATGAGCCAAAAAGAACTTTTGTTTTCTAACTTGTTCTTGTCAGTTCTTTCAGTGACAGTGACAAAAAGCTGACTAACATGGAAATTGATACTGAGAAGTGGAGTCATTGTTGTGACTAACCTGACCTTGGGGTTCAGAAGCCTTTAGAACTGCTCTGTAGGAGGAGTCTGGAAAAGTTGGATATGAGACACAAGGCTCAAGAAGACTTAGAACACTGTAAGAAGAACTTAATTGGTGATTCTGGTAGGAGTTCAAAAGACCAGAATGCTGTTAAGAATGTGGACACTAGAGACTGTGCTCACAAGGTTTCAGAGAGCAATGGGAACTCTGTTGGGAATTGGACCAGAGGCCACCTGTGCTACATTATGGGAAAGAACTTGTCTGCATTTTTGTCCATGTCCTGAGATTTTTTATGAGGCTGAATTTAAAGGTGATGGACTAATTAATATGACAGAGGAAATGTCAAGGCAGCACTGCATTCAGGCTGTGGCATTAATATTACTGGCAGTCTTTAGCTAGCTGTACTGTAAGAATCAAGAGCAAGAAGCAGAGAAAAAAGGATTTTTAAAACTTGCAGTTTGTTCAGAAAAGTGTGTGCAAAATTGGGTCTAGGAAGATGTGGTTATTGAAGAGATTACAGTCACTAAAGAGATCGTTTGTACAGAGTCAACAGGAACGATGCCTTAAGGACAGCTCAGGAATCAGCAAGACCATACCCAAGATCCAAGGATTTAGAAATGAAAACTACTTTAAAAGAAAATGAAGGCACCCTTCTTATACAGGAGTACCCAGGAAGTTGTGTACCGAGGACTTATGCCACCTTGCTCCTAGCACTCAGACACCGCTGAAACTGCAGTCCTAAGGGTCCCAGGTACTACTTGAGCTTGCAGCTGATCTTGGCATCAACTTGGTGCTGGTTCTGCAGGAGTGCAAGGATGCTGGTGTTAGTGGGTCATGGAGGTTTTCACCAAGATTTCTAAGGAAGACCTGGGGAAATGCCAGCCAAAATATATCAGGGTTGAAACTCCTGCAGGCACCCTCTGAGAGGGAAATGCATGAAGGTGTAACGCTGAAGCCAAAACTGGAATGGAGAATCCAGAAACTAAGAAATACCAATAACATGGACTCTTCTCCTGAGCAAAGCTGCTGTCTGCAGACACACAGGCTGAGAGAGATGATGCTCTGAGCAGTGCAACCAACAAGGCAAATGGTCAGGACTGCCCAAGCCCTGCAGAGTATATATCTTGTCACCATGAGCCCCAGATGCTAGAGGTGGAACTACATAAAATGTTTGTTCAGCTGGACTTAGTCCTGTTTTGAACCTAACCCTTCTTTCTATGCCCCATTTCCTCCCTTTTGGAATGGGAATGTTTAGTCTGTGCCATTATATATTGGATGTATAAAACTTGCTTTTGATTATTATAGGGACTCACAGACAAGAGTTTTCCTTGAGTCTCAGAGAAGACTTTGGACTTGAACTTTTGGACAATGCCAAAACTTTTAAGACTGTGGGAACTCTTAGAGATTGGTTAAATGCATGTTGCACTGTGAGATGGGCATGAGGTTTTGGGAGCAAGGGTAGACTATTATGGTTGGATATGAGGTGTCCCCACAAATCTCCTGTGTCAATGCAGGAGGTGAAATGATTAGACTATGAGAACTATAACAAAATCAGTGGTTCGATTCCTTTGGTGGAATAATCATTGGAAAGGACTAACTGGGTGGAAACTGTAGGCAGGTGTGGTGTGCCTAGAGGAAGTATGTCACTAGGGGCACAACCTCAGAGGTTTTATCTCCTCTCCCTGGCTCTTCCTTCTCTCTTTCTGCTTCTTGACCACCATGAGCACAGCAGTGCTCTCTGGTCATGCCCTTAGCCCTGCTGGTCTGGGGCCCAGAGCAATGGAACATCGCAAACCGTGAGCCAAAATGAAGATTCTCCTTCCTAAGTAGTTCTTGTCAAGTATTTTGGTCACAACAATGAAAGGGTGACTATGAAATCAGCAACATAGTCATGTCTGTCCTAACAGATCACAGAATCTAACTATGTAGGAAATATTATCAATTTCATAGACAGCAGATAAAGTGGTATGCAACCTAGCAATCAAGATGTAGAGTCCTAGTGGGAAAAGAATAATTGCGTTCAATGTTACTGATTTAGAGAAAGTCTAAGATGATATGGTGGTTTTCATTGTCAGCTTGAATGGATGGAGAGGCGCCTAGAAAACTGGTAAAACACACACCTCTGGGTGTGTCTGCAAGGGAGTTCAGAGACCATTGGCAAGTGGGTCAGTGAACTGAGTGAGGAAGACTCTCCCTGAATGTGGGAGACTCAGGCTGATGGATATGGGACCAGATGGATCCAAAAGCAGAAGAGGAAACTCCCACACATGTACCAGTTCCACTCTTCCCGAACCAGAGCATTCTTTTGTTGCTGTCATCCTGCATGGATATAAGATTCTGACTCTCCAGGGTGCAGACAGATATTGTAGGATGCTTCAGCTACTGTTTGTATAATCCAATCTAATAAACACCCTCTGCAAATTACATACACATCCTATTGATTGTGTTCCCCTGGAAAACCCTAATACAGATGGATACAGTACATTTTTTTCTTTTTTGAAGCAGAAGGATTCCAGGTAATAAAAAGTTCCCAGATGGGGCCATGGGTAGAGGCAAATAAATTTTCCCTTGAAAGTTGAGTTACAAATATTGGAAAGCACAGAGAAAAACACCAGTGAAAGGAAAACATTGAAAATATTCTGAGAAATATAGAAATTTTAATAGACATTGATTGTAAGTATATTTATTTTCTATGTAATGAATCACTCTACGAGTTCTTGGGGGGGGGCGCATTGTTGTTGTTGTTTGTACTGGGGATTGAACCTAGTGCCTCCTGCATGCTAGGAAAGCATTCTACCACTGAGCTACATCTTCAGCCCTCTGTAATAAATCATAGTAAACTTAATATCATAACACGAATGACATATATGAAGCAGAAGTACTGTTACTTCCCTCCCATAGGTTGTATTGGTTATCAGTCATAGCACTCCTGACAAATGAAGTCAAAGAAGGGACAATCTCATATTCCTTTTTAACTTAGCTTTCTGGGCAACCACAATATTTATTACTTACCTTAAATATATCTATCACAATTGGCATATGATAAATAATTTACACTGATATTTTATAATAATAGCATTGATCATTTAGATTCTACTAGATTGTGTTTTCTAAACTATGATGTGAGTATTAAACACTCATGCTTCTGAAATAATTTTAAGGCTACCTGAATAAGAGCTTAATTATAAAGGCATTTTAAAGGATACAGAAAATATTTAAATATTCAATCATATGTCAGATTTTCTTCTCAATGTATATTTCAATCTATTTAAATCAATCTATTGGAGTATTTTGAAATATCAAAAAAAAATTTACGGGAAATAAGAAAAATCATGAGATCCCTTAATACACACAACACAACACACACTCACACACACACACACGCACACACATCCTGATTTTAAAAGGCCCTTCATTTTGTAAGTTTCCTGGCATTTAGAGTTCCTCTGAACTCTTACTTGCAGCTGCAGCAGCAAAGCAATTTGTTCTGTAAATACTGCCATTGTGAAGACATATTATGCTCCATAATCTCCATTAAGTTTTCATTTGCCAAACTGGAGTCAGCTAAGGCAGAAGAAATATATTTTGAGTGCAAGTTAGGAAAAAAGCATTTTGCTAAAAAGAAAAAAAAAGAAAAAGAATCTCATGTTTAACAGACTCTTAGGTTCTGAACTTTATCTTTTTTACACAGAAAACTTAATTAATTCTAGAGAATTGAATCCTAAAGCTGGAAGAGAAAGAACAGTTTCCAATTTCTGATACAACCCTAAATTGCTCTTTTGTGGCCTGTGTTGGTGGTCTCTCCCCTTCTGTATGGGCTTACTTATTTTCCCTTGTGGAAATTTGCTGGTGAACATATCTTCTTTGACACAAAAAAATTCAGTCTTTTAAAATCTCATCCACCATTATCCATTCTTGCAAATACAAATGAATCTAGGTAAAGAAGAAAATAAATATATCAATGTAGGTATTAAAAATTCCTTTTTACCACAGTTTAATCATTTTAATGATTGTCAGTGCTCAACTTTAGGAAAAAATAGAAAAATTAAAACTAAAGACAAGCAGAAGTTATTACTGAAAGGAAATGGAGGATAGTGTCATTGAATCTGGGCAAACAAACAGCGATTTTTTTAATATTAGTTTGTTTTCTTTTTAATAAAATAATCCTGTATAAATTAGTCCCTTTATCTTTCCCTTTGACCTTAAGCTGTTCAAGCTGGAGGAGCTGGCCCCATTCCTCTTCTGCCGTTGAACTCCATGTGAACATAGAAGTTTTGTAGTTCACACAGATCACAGACTTTTGATCTAGATGTGACAAGCAGAGAAGAAAAACTCAGGAATTTCTAACAGAAATATAAGATGACATTCTCAGAGATAAGAACTCAATTGAGTATATTTTTAAATGGTGTGATTAAGCAAAAAATAAAATAAAATAAAACAACAACAGTGTTTTAGAATACAAACCAGATCCTCAGAAGATTCCTTGTATAATATTCCTCCCTGTGCTGCCTATTAATGAGGACCTTATTACTTCATTCCCATTATCATATCAAACCCTGCAAAAGTTTTTATTTTTCTTTTTTTCCAAAATATTATCATATACAAGGTGTGCACACATCAGTCTAATTGATCACAAGCTCCGCCTGCACAGTGCCAGCGTCACTCTGTGATGTGTCATCAGGATGTATTCCTCTGGGTCAGAAGTGAAGGAACCAGGGAAAACCTGGCACTGTCTCATCCTTGTGATCCAAGTGAACCAAGTGTCTTGCCTCTTGTGAAATTAGAAAAATAGAAACACTATAGATCATTTAAAATTGAGGTATATGTATTCATTTTTCAAAATATTTTTTTTTCAGTTGTAGATGCACACAGACCCTTTATTTTATTTATTTGTTTTTAGGTGAGGTCAAGATCAAACCCAGTGCCTCACACTTGTGAGACAAGCCCTCTACTACTGAGCCAAAACCCCAGCCCATATAGTCACGTTTAAAATCTCAAAATACACTATAAATTTTGGTGCAAAAATATCCCTTCTTTGGGGATGAGAATATATGACAACATGTCAGCTCAGTTTTGCTCCTGTGTCCTCATTTATCAGCCCTGATGCCACCCACACAGGTATGCGTACATGCACACAGAGCCAGACAATGCAGCACAAGATGACCCCCTCATCACTTCTGCTAAACTCAGTAATAGTTGTTAGTCCTTGAAAAGAAAATTGCAGCACTTTTTTGCTATTGAATTAAGAAGAATAAAACTTAAGATATCACTTAAAACTATTATACCGTGTGTTCTTAAAGTTCCTATCATTTTTTTTCACAAGATCATATAGAAACAAGGTTATGATTAAATAACTCTATCAAACAGCTCTTGAGCACTTAAAAGTGTAGAAATCTTATCTACTTCAAAGCATCATGGACACAGTATAAACCTGCAATGTTTTCAGTCAATTAAAAACATTACAACTTAAAAACAAATTTAGAGTAATGATTACCAGGTGTTGGGGGTTGGAAGAAATGAGGTTTGATTGCTAGTAGGTTCAGAGTTTCTGTTGGGTGAGATGAAGATGCTCTGGAATTACATATTAATGATGTTTACACAACTTTGAAAAATACAAAAAAAATCACTTAATTGTACTCTTTAAATGAATAAATTTTGGTGTATGAGTTAAATCTCAATAAAACTCTTATACAAAATTAAAAAAGATGGATGCGGTGGCACATGATTATAATCCCAGCAGCTCAGGAGGCTGAGGCAGGAGGATCACGAGTTCAAAGCCAGCCTCAGCAACAGCAAGGCACTAAGCAACACAGTGAGACCCTGTCTCTAAATAAAATACAAAATAGGGGCTGGGGATGTGGCTCAGTGGGTGAGTGCCCCTGAGTTCAATCCCTGGCAAAATTATAAAAAGGAAGGAAGGAAGGAAGGAAGGAAGGGAGGGAGGGAGGAAGGAAGGAAGGGAGGGAGGGAGGAAGGAAGGAAGGAAGGAAGGAAGGGAGGGAGGGAGGGAGGGAAGGAAGGAGGGAGGGAAAAACTTAGAAAAAGAAAGTTTGGAAATCCAGATCCTGAAAAATCCAAAAATGTTAATCAAATAAAGATGATGCTGAGAAGTTCCTCAATATGAAGATAAAATAATGATACACTTATATTTCATGAGAATACACATATTTAAGGCAACATAAAAATTACCTTAAACATCTCATAAACAATTTCTGCAGTCATAGTTTAAGCAAAATTGAGATCTGTGCATTATTTCAGTTTCAGAAGCAAAAAATAAAGCTTACTTAAAATTTACATCATATTTTACATTACCTATCCTATATGTGTCCGTCAACAACTAAAAAAAAAATTTTAAGTGCTGTTTTAAAAAAAGTCCCTATATGTCTTATGCTCAGTTCTTTAATTGGGTAACGGGCTACCTTCTTTTTCTCTCTCTGTATTCCACATCCATAAATAATGGTCAACCAAAATGGGTGCTGATGCCTTTGAATTCTTCCAAATTTATTGACAGAAATTACTGGTTCTGAATTTTCATATACCCTCAGAGCTGATTTTGGGTTACTCTCATACTGAGTTCTCATAAATACCATTTTATAACATTTTTACAACAAAAGAAGAATATTTTCAATTTGTTGTATAAAGAATTATGTACAGCAAAAGAAAGTGCCTTTTATTTTCTCTCAATAGCAAATAGTACACATTTTAAGGAATTCAATCTTTAGCATCCATTGTTTCTTGCAGGAGTAGGGATCTCATTAAGCCTGTTACTGAGGAAACAGATAGCCAAAGTTCTTTGTGTTGGTCTTATAGGAAAACACAGGTTAGCAGAAACTCTCACAATGTTCTATGTTTCTCTTTGTGTAACTGGATGATATCATATTGCCAAGTCATCATTTATTAAAGGACATCGGCTGTTCGAAGAATTTATATAAAATTAATCTGAATTATTTGAGCTATCAAATATATTAAATGAAAGAGAGAGATTGGTTGTGGTTTTGAGCCCAATACATACATACATACAGGGCTTGACTCAAACTGTGTTTGGAAGTAGGTTCCAGTGGGCAGGGAAATCCCTCTTTTTATTGAACACTGTCTATATAGGAGGCTTAGGATGGGGATGTAGTTAATAAAGACTAAGTGAGTCATCTTGAACTCGTATTTTCCTATGCTTATTCAGATTGGAGATTTGGGGAGTCTGTTTTGTTTATTTTCTTTTCTTGTTAACAGGGACCTAAGGAGATCATAGGGAGAAGAAACATGTGAAGTTATTGTTAATACAATCTCACAAAATACAAAATCACTGAACATTTTAGGCCTCATTTAATGATCATGCAGTTGCCTTGTTTATCTCTTGTACTGCCTGTTTCATACAGAAGGAGAAATACACTTCTACTTTAAATGATAATCTTTGCTCCATCAAAGCACAGTGATTTACTTGGGTGCATTTAAATCACACTATACTTAAAAGTTTTTATCCTCTAGTTAAATGAGACTTTGAAAGCTAACTTTGCTTTTTCAAATGATATGTTTGAATTTCCAATCATGTATTTTCTTCCCATATACTCTCCGAATAAGAGAAAAGCTTCTATTTTCACTATCTTGAGAGAAATATTTTCTTTGAACAACAACTGTAATCCATGCCTTCACATATAAACATCAATTTATTAATTCACAATCAGATGTTTCAGTGTATGTGATACTGCAGTTAGAGCATGAGCTGAATAAAATTCTTCACAGTAAATTTTTTCTTCATAAAATTTGTGCATAAACCCATGTGCCCCCCCAAAAGAACTAGATATTTTCAACCAATTCTCTCACACACAAAAATACTTCAAGAGCAAAATTACAACACTTAACCCTCAATTTTTGTCTCTATAACCCCCCCTACAAACAACCATCTGTGCTCCCCAGGAAGCTCCATTCTCCAGAACACACATGCAAACCTGCGTGTGCTCACACACAAACACACCAGTTTCAGTCTTTGTGCCAATAGAATCTTGTCCCTATTCCTGGGGTACCAGGTTTCTATCAGCTACTTATGGTTGTAAATCCTCATATTTTGGGCTAGAATACAGCATTAATATTTAGCTCTGTAATCCAAGTTTATTTTTAGACTTTTTTTTCCTTCTCTCATTCAAATAAGAAAAGCAACAAAATACAGAATAAAACTTATTTGATATCAAACTATGTAAACACAATCTCTCATGATTTAAAGAGTTTAAAATAAGTTCATGGTTTTAAAAAGTTCCTACTAAAAAGTTATAATAAAAAAGGAAGCTAATTTTACCCTTTGGTTTAAGGATAAATTTTTACCTTTTATTTCTGTTGATGGATCACCCTCTTACAGAATGTATACACTAATCTCTGTTGCTATATAATTTTAAACATTGTATTAGATAAATCTAAAAACCTCTCCAAAATGTAGTGATTGAATGGTGTAAAATTGAAAAAAAAAACAGAGTTAAATTATTTTCTCAAAGCTGTGGTTGGCTGGTGTGTCTGCTGGCTGAGTGGGCTTAACTGACATTGGCTGGATTCACTCATAGATTTAGGTTTAATTGGTAGATAGACTGGGGCCATGACCATCTAGTATGGCATTTGCTGGTGACTCAGCTGTGCTTTCCAGCTTTCTTACATGCACAAGTTTCTCAAAACCTCCAATAGTCTAGTCTGGTTCTTATGACATTCACATGACAACATACAAAAGTAAAAGGAAGGAAAAATGTGCAGACATGCTTCCAAAAATTCTCTTTGCATCAGATTTATTGTTACCCCACTGTTCAAAGCAAGGCACACAGGGCTCCATGCAGAGTAGGCTTGGGACCAAGCTGTCAGAAGACATGGATACAGGGATGACATTAATTAGTACTGTAGATAAAATCAAGCTGGCTTCCTCCTTTAGAATATCACACACATATTCTCAATTAGATTAATAACAAAAGAGACTGAATTTTCTTTTACACTGTATGTAAAAATATTCCCTTTCCTCAAATAGCTTGAAAGTGTGGCTGGCTATATATAGAATTCTAGGTCAGAAATCTTATTTAATTACTCATAATGTCAAGTTACTCTTCCAGTGTCCTAATTTAGTGTATGGCATTGTTATTGAGAAGCGCAATGTCATTTTTTCCTCTTTTATTTATGCTGTGTTTTCATATCTTTGGAAGATGCTTGGGTATTGATCACTTATACCTTTTCCTCTTATCCTATGAAGGTGTAATATTGTGCCCTTATGTTGATCATGTAGTTCCTTTGATCATCCCTTGGGCTCCATTTATCATGGAGTCTCTTGTTCAGTTCTGGGG